GTGATAATGAGATCTAATAGGCTGGGCGTATCCCCTACTCTTTCCCTAGTATCTTCTTTCACATGCTGTGTTAGGAAATTCCTGTCAATAACGTCTACCAGCTTCGCTCCCAGGTCTCCTCCCCGCCATGGGGATTCCTCGTTTCCCAATCTATCTCTCCGTGATTTAGGTCCCCATGACCAGCAGCTTCGCTCTCATTCTATGCGCTAAAGTTGCTGCCTCTGCAGTTCATCCATATTGTCTTGTTGCTGTCTCGTACTCCTGCCTGGGCCTTCTACTGTTTGGTGGGGGATTGTAGAGTATCAAGATTACAATCTTCTTCCATCCACTGTCAGAGTTCCATGTATGAAGCTTGTGCTTTCATTGGTACCCGGATTTTCCAGCTCATCAAACTTCCATTTCCGCTTTATTAGTAGTGCCACTCCTCATCCCTGTCTCTGTGTCCTTTCTTTCTTATACCTGGTACCCTCTGGAAAGATTGCATCCGAGATCATGCATTTATTTTAGTTTCCACTATTGCCACTATGTTGGGTCTGCCTCACTAACTCTTTCTTTTATCTCTTCTGCTTTATTGGCTACCCCATCAGCATTGGTGTACCAAACCTTGAGACTCTTCTTGGAAACTCGGGTGTCAGAGTTCCCCTTTCACCAGGGGTCTGGGGGGAACTGGGGGGTGTCTGGGGGGCAAGTGGGGGCTGTGGGGGTGAGTGGGGGGGTGCTAGGGGGGTGCCTGGGAGTGCTGGTAGGCGAATGGGGGTCTGGGCATCTAGGGGGGTAGGAAAGGGCATAAGGGTCTGAAAGTTAGGGGTTGAATAGCATAGGGGGGTTGAGAAATAGAGTGAGACTGAGAGTCAGATAGAGGTGAGAGGTTGGGGGGGAAGAGGGCTACTGAGGGTGGAGAGTTGAGATGAGAATGGAGCATGGGTGCTGGGAGTGGAAGAGAGGGTATATTAGTAGGGGGGAATCGGGGGTAGGTGGGGTTTTGGGGTAGAAGAGGGGAAGAGGGAGAGGGGGGAGGTGTTAGGGGGTCACAAGGTGAGGGGGTTAAATGTGGGCTGGAGGTGCATAGGAGGGGTGAGGGTTGGGTGGGGTTTGGGGGTGAGTGTGTGTGTGTGTGTGTGTGTGTGTGTGTGTGTGTGTGTGTGTGTGTGTGTGTGTGTGTGTGTGTGTGTGTGTGTGTGTGTTCTCACCTAGTTGTGTCTGCAGGATCGAGCATTGACTCTTGGATTCCGCCTTTCGAGCATCGGTTGTTTACAGCAATGACTCCTGTCCCATTTCCCTATCATACCTGGTTTTAAAATTATGAATAGTATATGCTTCCACAACCTGTTCCTGAAGTGCATTACATTTTCCCACTACTCTCACGCTAAAAGAAAACTTCCTAACATCCCTGTGACTCATCTGAGTTTCAAGCTTCCACCCATGTCAACCCGTTCTGTTACTATTCCGTGTGAACATTTCGTCTATGTCCACTCTGTCAATCCTCGTAGGTTTCTCATCTTCATTATCCCCGTAACCTTCTTATCTTCACTATTACATGTAGCATCCTCATTTTCACCATCCCCATCGCATCCTCATCTTCACCATCCCCGCAGAATACTCATCTTCGTCATCCACAAAGCATCCTCATATTCACCATCACTGTAGCATCCTCATCTTCACCATCCCCGCAGTATCGTCATCTTCACCATCCCCTCAGCTTCCTCATCTTCATCATCCCCCGCAGCATCCTTATCTTCACTATCCCATGTAGCATCCTCATTTATTCCATCCACAGCATCCTCATCTTCACCATCTCCGCAGAATCCTCATCTTCACCATCCCCAGCAGTATTCTTACTTTCACCATTACCGCTGCATCCTCATCTTCACCATCTTCATAGCATCATCATCTTCAACATCCTCACAGCATCCTCATCTTTACCATCCCCGCAGCATCCTCATATTCACTATTTTCGCAGAATCCTCATTTTCCCAATCCCAACAGTATCCTCATCTTGACCATCCTTACCACCATCCTCATCTTCATCAACTCCACCATCCTCATCTTCACCATCCCGCAGCATCTTCAGCTTCACCATATCTGCAGCATCTTCATCTTCACCATCCCTGTAGCATCCTCATCTTCACCATCACCTGCAGAATCCTCATCTTCACAATCTCCGCAGCATCGTCATCTTCACCATCCCTTGCAACATCTTCATCATCACCATCCCCTGATGCATCTCCTATCTTCACCATCCTCATCTTCATGATCCCCACAGCATCGTCATCTTCACTATCCCCACAGAGACCTCATCTTCACCATCCCCTGTAGCATCCGTATCTTCAACATCTCCGCAGTATCCTCATCTTCACCATCCCAACACCATCCTCATCTTCACAATCCCCGCATCATCCTAATCTTCACCATCCCCCCACTGATCCTCATCTTCACCATCCCCTGCAACATGCTTATCTTCACCATCCCCTGAAGCATCCTCATCTTGACCATCCTTGAAGCATCTTAATCTTCACATTCCCCTCATCATCCTCATCATCACCATCCCTCCTGAATTATATTCTTCATCATCCCCTGCAGCATCCCATCTTCACCATCCTTACAGCTCTTCATCTTCACCATCCCGGCAGCAACCTAACATTCACCACCTCCGAAACATCATCATCCTCACCATCCTCGCAGCATCCTCATATTCACCATCCCCGCAACAATCCCATCTTCATCCTCCCCGCAGCATCTTCATCTTCATTATTCCCACAGCAACCTCATCGTCACCATACCCCACAGCATCCTCATCTTCACCATCTTCCGCAGAATCCTCATCTTCACCATCCCCAGCTGCATTCTTATTTTCACCATTACCGCAGAATATTCATCTTTACCATCTTCGTAGCATCCTCATTGTCTTCATCCCTCAGCATCCTCATCTTCACCATCCTCGCAGCATCCTCATCTTCACCATCCCCACCAACATCTCGTCTTCAACATCCCCACAGCTTCTTAATAATCACCATTCCTGCAGCATCCTCATCTTCAACATCCCCTGCAGCATCCTCAACTTAACCATCTTCGCAGCATCCTCATCTTCACCATCCCCACATTATGTTATCTTCACCATCCCCGCAGCATCCTCATCTTCACCATTCCCTGTACCTTTCGCATCTTCACCATCCCCACAGCATCCTCATTTCACGATCCCCGCAACATCCTCTTTTTCACTATCCTCGCTGCATCCGCATCTTCACCATCCCCGCAGCATCCTCATCTTCATCACCCCCGCAGCATCCTTATCTTTACTATCACCTGTAGCATCCTCATCTTCACCATCCCCTCAGAATCCTAATTTCGCCATCTCCCGCAGCATCCTCATCTTCAGCAATACCTGTAGCATCCTCTCCACCACCCACACAGTATCGTCATTTTCACCATCCCTGCAGCATCCTCATCTTGATCATCCTGCAGCAGCCTAATCTTCACCATTTCCACAGCATCCTCATCATCACAGTCCCCCTGAATTTTAATCTTCACCATCCCCCTGAATCCTAATCCTCTCCATCCCCATTTTCACCATCCTTGCAGCATCCTCATCTTCACCACTACCACATCCTTATCTTCACCTTCCCCTTCACTTCTTATCTTCACGCACTTCACTTATCCTCATTACTTGCACTCATCTCACCATCTTCGTATCTCTCATTCACATCCCCACAGCATCCTCATCTTCACCATCCCTGCAGCATCCTCGTCTTCACTATGTCCGGAGCATCCTCATCTTCACATCCCCAGCATCCTCATCTTCACCATCCCCTGCAGCATTCTTATCTTCACCATTACTGCTGCATCCTAATCTTCGCCACCCCACAGCATCCTCATCTTCACCATCTCCCTGAATCCTACTCTTTACATCCCCCTGAATCCTAATTTTCAGCACCCATCTTCACCATCCTTGCAGCATCCTCATCTTCACCATTCCCCACAGCATCCTCAACTTCACCCTCCCCTGCAGCATTCTTATCTTCACATTACCGCAGCATCCTCATCTCGCCAACTTCGTAGCATCCTCATCTTCACTATCCCAAGCATCCTGATCTTCACCATCTTGAGGTTATCTTGAGTTGATTTCGGGGCTTTTAGTGTCCCCGCGGCCCGGTCCTTGACCAGGCCTCCACCCCCAGGAAGCAGCCCGTGACACCTGACTAACACCCAGGTACCTATTTACTGCTAGGTAACAGGGGCATTCAGGGTGAAAGAAACTTTGCCCATTTGTTTCTGCCTCGTGCGGGAATCGAACCCGCGCCACAGAATTACGAGTCCTGCGCGCTATCCACCAGTCTACGAGGCCCCGCCTCCAGACACTGTTGCCACCCTACTTCACCATTAGTCACTGCCAACACTACCTTCACCACTAACAACTGCCATTGACAGTTCCACCCACTAAATTACCACTGATCTTAGATAGCTTATGACCTCGTTACCTTCAAAACTGAAAAGAATTAACCAAAACATTTGTTCTGGTCTTGTGAATATCAAGAGTATATTTCGTTGATTTCTCGGCCCTTCGACTTTATATTCATGAGTGCAGTCGGTGGATGGAGGGTTGGGTGTCCTTGTTGATGGTGGTGATAGCCTCAACTACTTACCGTGAGTGGGGGCGGGTGGAGATGACCAAGATGGAGCTGAGTATGCTCCAGGACCAAGCAGCAGACTGGCAGGCAGAGCCAGCAGACAGGACTGCTGTACCTAGCACGTACCCTAGCCTCCTGATGGGTTAATCCCACAACTGCCCCAGCTAGACTCGCGCTCCTCGACTCCCCGACGACGACTCCGCCTGGCACTGGATAGCATCACACACACGGTTGAGTGAAATTCTTCAGCAGATTGAGGAACTAAAGAAGTTTCTGTGGCAGGTTGGTGAGGAACCACGGCGCCTGAGTAAGCCAGCCTAGCTGACTTTTCTCATAATAATTAGCGGTCTTCTCCTAATGAGTTAGACATGCGAGATGGTCGTTGATTGGGTAACTGGTGATGACATGTCGAGAAACTAGCTGGATATAATGATCATTCGAGCAAGAGCTTCAGTATGAGACCCACACGTGTGATGGTGAAGATATGAATGATGAGAGTTGAAGGATCTATAAGAAGGCTGGTGAAGGGTCCGGTCTACAGAGATAATGCGTGGCCTATAGGTGTGCCTGTGACCCTAGTGAAGGGGGGGGGGATGTTTGTGTGTGTGTGTGTGTGTGAACCAAGGGAGGGGAGGGAGGGAGGTTTTTTGAGTGAGTCCCATCACACTCAATTAGGTGTGTGTACTCACCTAATTGTGCTTGCGGGGGTTGAGCTCTAGCTCTTTGGTCCCGCCTCTCAACTGTCAATCAACTGGTGTACAGGTTCCTGAGCCTACTAGGCCCTATCATATCTACATTTGAAACTGTGTATGGAGTCAGCCTCTACCACTTCATCCTACATTCCTAATCTGGCAGCATCCGGGATGGTCAATGCAGTTAACCTGTTAACTACTCTGACACTGAAAAAATTCTTTCTAACGTCCCTGTGGCTCATGTGGGTACTCAGCTTACACCCGTGTCCCCTTGTTCGCTTACCACCCGTGTTAAATAGTTTATCCTTGTCTACCCTGTCAATTTCCCTGAGCATTTTGTAGGTAGTGATCATGTCTCCCCTTACTCTTCTGTCTTCCAGTGTCGTAAGGTGCATTTCCCGCAGCCTTTCTTCGTAACTCATGCCTCTTAGTTCTGGGACTAGTCTAGGGGTATACCTCTGAACTTTTTCCAGCTTCGTCTTGTGCTTGACAAGGTACGGGCTCCATGCTGGGGCTGCATACTCCAGGATTGGTCTTACATATGTGATATACAAGATTCTGAATGATTCCTTACACAGGTTCCTGAAGGCTGTTCTGATGTTAGCCAGCCTCGCATATGCCGCAGACGTTATTCTTTTTATGTGGGCTTCAGGAGACAGGTTTGGTGTGATATCAACTCCTAGATCTTTCTCTCTGTCCGTTTCATGAAGTACTTCATCTCCTATTCTGTATCCTGTGTCTGGCTTCCTATTTCCACCGCCTAGTTTTCATTACCTTGCATTTACTCGGGTTGAACTTTAATAGCCATTTGTTGGACCATTCATTCAGTCTGTCTAGGTCATCTTGTAGCCTCCTACTATCATCCTCTGTTTTAATCCTTCTCATAATTTTTGCATCATCAGCAAACATTGAGAGGAACGAATCTATTTCCTCTGGGAGATCATTTACATATATCAGAAACAGTATAGGTCCAAGGACTGACCCCTGCGGGACTCCACTGGTGACGTCTCGCCAAGCTGAGACCTCATTTCGGACTGCTAGGACTGGTCCTTCGAGGGCTACTTGGGGGCGTCTTCTTAGCGCTTTGTGGGACGGGGGTCTCCTCTTCGTCATGACGAGGTCTGTCAAACCGGCGTGGGTAATTCCTAGGAACATACCTAGCGGAAGACCGGTGCGTCAGGATGTATTCCTCAGCCATGGTGGCTGCCGCACCCAAGGTCTCTACCTGCTGTTCCTCTAAGTACGTCTTTAGTTCTCCAGCCAGACAGTCTTTGAAGTCCTCTAACAGTATGAGCTGCTCGAGGTCTTCTTTGGTCTCCACCTTCCGAGAGGCACACCATTCCTGGAAAAGTCGCTCCTTGATTGTGGCGAATTCGGTGAACGTGTGCTCTGAGGTCTTTTTCAGGTTCCTAAACTTTTGCCTGTACGCCTCAGGTACCAATTGGTACGCCATGAGCACGACCTTCTTCACCTTGTCGTAATCGCCAGAGTCATCAAGGGACAACGTGGAGTAGGCGATTTGGGCCTTCCCAGTCAAGACGGACTGTATCATGATGGCCCAATTCTCCTTTGGCCACTCCAAAGAGGCTGCGACTTTCTCGAAGGCCGCGAAGAACTTCTAAACTTCTCGTTGAACTTCGGGACCATTTTGATGTTCCTCACCGGATCGAAAATACTTGTGTCCGTTGTTTGCCTCCGACCACCTAATCACAATACTTCTAGCTCATGTTGTCTCTCTCTTTCCTCTCTGTCTCGTCGTTCTTGCCTATCACGTTCTTCTCTCTCTCGTTTCTCTTCTCTTTCTCGTTCTTTTTCTCGCTCTTCTCTTTCTCTTTCTCGTTCTTCTCTTTCTCTTTCTCGTTCTTCTCTTTCTCTTTCTCGTTCTAATTCTAAACGCCTCATCTCTAATTCTTTATCTTGTTTCTCTCTTTCCATTTCTAATTTCTTCCATTCTATCTCGCGATTTATTTCCAAGGCACGCATCTTTACTGTAAGTAAACTTATATTTAGCTCACCTGCATCGCTGTCAATGTCACTGCCTTTATCTTCCTTTTCAGTGGAAGTTACTTCTTCACTTTCTTTTGTACCTTGTGCCTCACTTTCCTGTTTCTCCTCGGCCTTCAAATGCCGGTGAACCTTTGGACAAGATCTCCACACGGGAATCACTGGCACGTATCTTGATCTCCAGGTAGGCACTCACTAACACTAGTTCCTGTTTCCCCAGATATTTTAATCTGGGAAGACAGTCCTCCCTGTTCAGAAAAGCCTGAACATCGTCCAGATCGTCGATGGTCGCTTTTTCTGCCATTGACACTGAGATGGAGCACTAGCACTTAACACACAGCTTCACTTTAGCACTTAACGCACCGAGCACTGTTCTACGTCAATATTGCACTTTATCGCACCTAACACCGCACTTGCCAATATTGCACGTAATTACAACGGGCACGGCACTGCGCAATATTGCACTTAATCACAGCGAGCACCGCACTCTACAATATTGCACTGAATCACTCCGAGCACCGCACAGGACGTATAACGTCCTAATAATCACAAACAGGGGGAATTATTCACAGGGATTGCGCCACTTCACCACCCCTGTCAAACATACTTGACAAGGGGTCGGATCCCGCTGGGGATGCCAATTATGTTACGGCCCTACTGGGTCGCAACGGGGTTCTTTCTCTGATGTTAATAGAGTTTGGGTATCCGGCCCCAAGTTAGTAGTGGCTTTCAAGGGGTGTGTTCCGTAACGCAAGTAAATTAAAGGGGAAGGGTGACAAAGGCACTAAACTTAAATATATAATTACACCACCACCATAAATAAATATATAAACAGTCACACGGGGGGGTATAAACACTATAATATACAGAATGGTCTTCCTCTGAAGACGCAGGAATGTTCCAAGGTGCTCGAGAGGAGCAGCCCTGGTCCTCTTCTTGTGGCCTCACGTTGAATCCTTCGATTCTCTCGAGTCTACCCTGGCCACAGGCCAGCCAAATCACAGTTCCACTGGGTGCACCGTCGTGGAGGCCTTCAACCACAAATCCAGCCTGTAGCTGGCAGGTTCCAATTGGTTCCGCTGGTTAGGCCACTCCACGACCGATACTAGGGTTGCGAGCCCTAGGCAGGAGCCTCGTGTGATTTCACAGATCACTCTCCTCACCACAACACCCCAGTGGCTAGTCTTCTCCACCAGTCAGCCCCGGGTACGACAATTCCTCAACTGCCACGTCACAGGCAGGATAACACAACAGTGTTCATCCGGGGGGTGACTCAGCTTCTGCAGCAAACACGTGGAGGTACCTAGGCTGCCTTGGGTAGACTGCCCCACCGTCCGATTCAGCAGTCCCAGGTCGACTCTGTAATCAGACACGTCATCAGTACTAGTTACACTCTAGGGCACCTCACTCACAGGCTTAGACACAAACGCCCACCTATCTACTCCATAGATGGCGTTGCTGTCTAAGCGTCACCTCACCAGAGGTCAGCAGCGGCTACGTTACTAGCTGATCAAGACGGGAAACCAGCCCCCGTGGCCGGTAAATCTCGTCCTCACTAGATGGCGTCGTCCATTTGGAGGGGGTTTCGGGAGCTGACCCACAGATGGCGCGGTCGTCACTGCTCAGTGCTCGAACGCTGGACTCGGGTCCGTAACACCCACCTACCCCAAAACCTCCCTGCCCCCACTCAAATACTCAACCAAATCTCCCTCACCCCACACCCAATCCCCACCCGTCAACCCCTGCCCACCTCCCGCCAAGTACCCCTCCTCCCCTTTCCTTCCTGTCCTCCCTCTTTTTCACCCCATACCCTCCCTGTCCCTCCCCTTTCACTTGACCCCCCTACTCCTCATCCCAGTATCCTCTGCAACCCTGGTATCCACCTCACAAATCCTCACACCCATGGCACAGCTTCCCCCACCAGCGGAACACTCACCAAGGAGGAGATTTGAGAAGGGACAGAAGAAAGTGAGCCTCAAGGCAATGTACACTAACATAGATAGAATTACAAATAAAGAAAATGAACTTGGAGAATGGGTACTAGAGGAAAAACCAGACATAATAGCTCTCACAGAAACAAAGCTAACGAAAACCATAACAAATGCAGTGTTCCCACAGGACTTTTATGTTATGTGGAAAGAGAGAGAAGGAAGAGGTGGTGGTGGTGTTGCCCTGCTGGTAAGAAAAGGCTGGGACTTTGAGGAGATGGTAGTTCAGGGATGTGAAGGTTTCAGTGACTACATAATAGGTAAAATAACAACTGGAGGGCAAAAAATTATAGTCGTAGTCATGTATAATCCACCAACAAATGACAGAAGACCCAGACAGGAGTATGATAGAAACAACATGGCCACCATTAACATAATATGGAGAGCAGCTTATGTTGCTAGCAGAAATGGATCTGGACTACTAATCATGGGAGACTTCGATCATGGGAAAATAGATTGAGAGAACAGAGACCCACATGGAGGACCAGAAACATGGAGAGCTAAGCTGCTGGACGTAGCAACAAGAAAATTTCTAAGCCAGCACATCAAGGAACCAACAAGAATGAGAGAAGATGAACCAGCAATGCTTGATCTGATACTTACCCTAAATGAGTGGGATATAAGGGAAGTCAAGATGGAAGCACCCTTTGAAATGAGTGATCACAGTGTATTGAACTTTGAGTACCTGGTAGTGCTAGGAATTATATCCCCCCAAAACGAACTAGGAAACAAAAGGCTGGCATACCAAAAGGGAAATTATGAGGAGATGAGAAGCTTCCTAAGGGAAATACCTTGGAACACAGACCTCAGAGCTAAGTCGGTACAAGATATGATGGACTGTGTCACCCAAAAGTGTCAGGAGGCAGTAAGCAGATACATCCCGGCCAAAAAGGAAAAATCCGAGAAGCAAAAGAAGAATCCATGGTATAATAGGGCATGTATGGAAACAAAGAAACTGAACAAAAGGGCGTGGAGGAACTTCCGGAATAACAAAACACCAGAAAGCAGAGAGAGATACCAGAGAACCAGGAATGAGTATGTCAGGGTGAGAAGAGAAGCAGAGAAAAGTTATGAAAATGATATAGCAAACAAAGCCAAGACCGAATCAAAGCTACTCCACAGTCACATCAGAAAGAAAACAACAGTGAAAGAACAGGTAGTGAAACTTAAAACAGGCAAGAACAGGTATACAGAGAATGACAAAGAGGTGTGAGAAGAACTCAACAAGAGGTTCCAGGAGGACTTCACAACAGAACAAGGTGAGGTCACTGTGCTAGGAGAAAGGGAAATAAACCAGGCGGCTTTGGAAGGGTTCGAAATTTCGAGAGAGGAGGTCAAAAGACACCTGCTGGATTTGGATGTTAGAAAGGCTGTTGGTTCAGACGTGATCTCGCCATGGGTACTGAAAGAGAGTGAAGAGGCACTTTGCTTGCCACTCTCCATAGTGTATAGTAGGACACTTGAGTTAGGAGACCTTCCAGAAATATGGAAGACGGCAAATGTGGTCCCAATATACAAAAAAGGGCGACAGGCATGAGGCACTGAACTACAGGGAAGTGTCTTTGACTTGTATACCATGCAAAGTGATGGAGAAGATCGTGAGAAAAAAACTGGTAGCACATTTGGAGACAAGGGACTTCGTGGCAAATCGCCAACATGGGTTCAGGGAGGGTAAATCTTGCCTGACTCGCTTAATAGAATTCTATGACCAGGTGACAAAGATTAAGCAAGAAAGAGAGGGCTGGGTGGACTGCATTTTCTTGGATTGTCGGAAAGCCTTTGACACAGTAATCCATAAGAGGCTAGTACATAAGCTGGAGAGACAGGCAGGTGTAGCTGGAAAGGTGCTCCAGTGGATTAAGGAGTGCCTAAACAATAGGAAGCAGAGAGTTACGGTGAGGGGTGAGACCTCCGATTGGCGTGAAGTCACCAGTGGAGTCCCACAGGGCTCTGCACGCGGTCCTATCTTGTTTCTGATATTTGTAAATGATCTCCCGGAGGGTATAGATTCATTTCTCTCAATGTTTGCGGACGATGCCAAAATTATGAGAAGGATTAAGACAGAAGAGGACTGTTTGAGGCTTCAAGAAGACCTAGACAAGCTGAAGGAATGGTCGAACAAATGGTTGTTAGAGTTTAACCCAACCAAATGTAATGTAATGAAGATAGGTGTAGGGAGCAGGAGGCCAGATACAAGGTATCATCTGGGAGAGGAAATTCTTCAGGAGTCAGAGAAAGAAAAAGACTTGGGGGTTGATATCACGCCAGACCTGTCTCTTGCAGCCTATATCCAGAGGATAACATCAGCGGCATATGCCCGGCTGGCCTACATACGAACGGCATTCAGAAACTTGTGTAAAGAATCATTCAGAACTTTGTATACCACATGTCAGGCCATTCCTGGAGTATGCAGCCCCAGCATGGAGTCCATATCTAGTCAAGGATATGACTAAACTGGAAAAGGATCAAAGATTTGCCACCAGACTAGTACCTGAGCTGAGAGGTATGAGCTACGAGGAAAGACTACGGGAATTAAACCTCAGTTCGCTAGAAGAAGGAAGAGTTAGGGGGGACATGAAGGGAATTAATAGGGTAGATAAAGCCAGGCTATTTAACACAAGAGGCACACGCACAAGGAGACACAGGAGTGCCCAAATGAGCCACAAAGATATTAGAAAGAACTTTTTTAGTGTCAGAGTGGTTGACAAATGGAATGCATTAGGCAGTGGTGTGGTGTAGGCTGACTCCATACACAGTTTCAATTGTAGATATGATAGAGCCCAATAGCCTCAGGAATCTGTACACCTGTTGATTGACAGTTGAGAGGCGGGACCAAAGAGCCAGAGCTCAACCCCTGCAAACACAACTAGGTGAGTACAGCATTATTATCTTCACCATCCTAGCAGCATCCTCATCTGCACCATCCAACGCAGCATCATCATCTTAACCATCTTTGCAGCATCCTCATCTTCACCATCCCCTGCATCATCCTTATTTTCACCATCTGCATATCAACCTCATCTTCACTATCCCCTACAGCATCCTCATCTACACCATCCCCGGCAGCATCCTCATCTTTACCATCCCCGCAGCATCCTCATATTCACCATCTTCACAGCATCCTCATATTCACCATCTTCGTAGCATCCTCATCTTCACTATCCCAACAGCATCCTCATCCTGACCATCTTTACACCATACTCATCTTCATCACCCCCAAAATCCTCATCTTCACGATATCTGCAGCATCCTCATCTTAACCATCTCCGAAGCATCGTCATCTTCACCATTCCCCGCAGCATCCTTATCTTCACCATTCCCTGAAACATCCTCATCTTCACTATCCTCACAGCATTTTCATCTTCACGATCCCCGCAGCATCGTCATCTTCACCATTCCCGCAGAAACCTCATCTTCACCATCTCCTGTAGCATTCGCATCTTCAACATCCCCACGGCGTCCTCACATCTTCACCATCCCCGCAGCATCCTCATTTTCACAAACCCCGCATCATCCTAATCTTCACCATCCTCTGCATTATCCTCATCGTCACTATCACCTTTATCATGCTCATCTTCACCATCCCCACAGAATTCTCAGTTTGATCATCCCCGTTGCGTCCTCATCTTCACCATCCTTGTTGCATCCATATCTTCACTATCTCCCGCAGCATGCTCACCTTCACCATCCCCTGCAGCATTCTTACCTTCACCATTGCCGCTGCATCCACATCTTCACCATCTTCGTAGCATCATCATTTTCACCATCCTCACAGCATCCTCATCTTTACCATCTCTGCAGCATCCTCATATTCACCATTTTCGCAGCATCCTCATCTTCCCAATCCTCACAGCATCCTCATCTTGACCATCCTTACACCATCCACATCTTCATCACCTCCAACATCCTCATCTTCACTATCCCCGCAGCATCCTAATCTTCATTATTTCTATAGCGTCCTCATCTTCACCATCCCCTGCAGCATTCTTATCTTTACAATTATCGTAGCATCCTCATCTTCACTATCCCTGAAGCATCTTTATCTTCACTATCTCTTCAGCATTCTCATCTTCACCATCCCCCACCAACATCCTCGTCTTCACCATCCCCGTAGCATCCTAATCTTAAATATCCCTGCAGCATCCTCATCTTCACCATCCCCTTAGCATCGTCATCTTCACTATCCCAGCAGCAACCTCATCTTCACTCTTCCCGCAGCTTCCTCATCTTCATCATTCCCCGCAGCATCCTTATCTTCACTATCACATGCAGCATCCTCATTTTCACCATCCCCAAAGCATCCTCATCCTCACCATCCATGCATCATCCTCATCTTGACCATCCCTGCAGCATCTTAATCTTCACCGTCCCCACAGCATCCTCATCTTCACAATCCCCCCTCAATCTTAATCTTCACCATCCTCTGCAGCATTCCTATCTTCACCATCGTTGCAGCGTCCTCATCTTCACCGTCCCGGTAGCAACTTAATATTCACCATGCGCTAAACATCATCATCTTCACCATCCTCGCAGCACCCTCATGATAACTATCCCTGAAGCCTTCTCATCTTCCATATCCTCTGCAGCATGCTCATCTTCACCATCCCCTGCAGCATTCTTACCTTCACAATTGCCGCTGCATCCTCATCTTCACCATCTTCGTAGCATCAACATCTTCATCATCTCCACAGCATCCTCATCTTTACCATCTCTGCAATATCATCATATTCACCATTTTCGCAGCATCCTCATCTTCCCAATCCTAACCGCATCCTCATCTTGACCATCCTTACACCATCCTCATCTTCATCACCTCCAACATCCTCATCTTCACCATCTTCGCAGCATCCTCATCTTCACCATATCTGCAGCATTTTCATCTTCACCATCCCCGAAGCATCTTCATCTTCACAATCTGAACAGCATCGTCATTTCCACCATCCCCTACAACATCCTCATCTTCACTATCCCTTGAAGCATCCTCATCTTCACCATCTTCGCAGCATCCTCATCTTCACCATCCCCACAGCATCGTTATCTTCACCATCCCCGCAGCATCCTCATCTTCACCATCCCCTGTACCTTTCGCATCTTCACCATCCCCGCAGTGTCCTCATCTTCACGATTCTCGCAACATCCTCATTTTCACCATCTCCGCTGCATCCTCATCTTCACCGTCCCCGCAGAATCCTCATCATCACCATCCACGCAGCATCCTCATCTCCACCATCCTCGCAGCAATCTCATCTTCACCATCCCCGCAGCTTCCTCATCTTCAGCATCCCCCGCAGCATCTTTATCTTCACTATCACCTGTAGCATCATCATTTTCACCCTCCTTACAGCATCCTCATCCTCACCATCCCCGCCGAATCCTCATCTCCGCAGTCTCCCGCAGCATCCTCATCTTCAGCATCACCTGTTGCATCCTCTTCTTCTCCATCCCCGCAGCATCCTCATCTTCACCATATCTGCAGCATTTTCATCTTCACCATCCCCGTAGCATTCTCATCTTCACCATCACCTGCAGAATCCTCATCTTCACAATCTGCACAGCATCGTCATTTTCACCATCCCCTACAACATCCTCATCTTCACCATCCCCTGAAGCATCCTCATCTTGACCATCCCCACAGCATCCTAATCTTCACCATCCCCTAAGCATCCTCATCATCACCATCCTCCCTTAAACCTAATCATCATCATCCCCTGCAGCATCCCCATCTTCACCATCCTTGCAGCATCCTCATCTTCATCCCGGCAACAACCTAATATTCACCATCCCCGAAACATCATCATCTTCACCATCCTCGCAGCATCTTCATATTTACCATCCCCGCAACAATCCCATCTTCATCCTCCCCACAGCATCCTCATCTTCACTATTCCCGCAGCATCCTCATCTCCACCATAACCACAGCATCCTCATCTTCACCATTACCGCACCATCCTCATCTTTACCATCACCGCTGCATCCTCATCTTCACCATCTATGTAGCATCCTCATCGTCACCTTCCCTACAGCATCCTCATCTTCACCATCCCCGCAGTATCCTCATCTTCACTATCTCTGCCGCATTCACATCTTCACCATCCTCCACCAACATCCTCGTCCTCAACCGCAGCTTCTAAATTATCACCATCCCAGCAGCATCCTCATCTTCAAAATCTTCGCAGCTTCCTCATCTTCATCATCCCCACAGCATCGTTATCTTCACCATCCCCGCAGCATCCTCATCTTCACCATCCCCGCAACATCCTCATTTTCACGATCCTCGCAAGATCCTCATTTTCACCATCTCCGCTGCATCCTCATCTTCACCATCCCCGCAGCATCCTCATCATCACCATCCCCGCAGCATCGTCATCTCCACCATCCTCGCAGCAATCTCATCTTCAGCATCCCCCTCAGCATCTTTATCTTCATTACCACCTGTAGAATCATCATTTCCACCATCCTGGCAGCATCCTCATCCTCACCATCCCCGCAGAATCCTCATCTTCGCCATCTCCCGCAGCATTCTCATCTTCACCATTACCGCTGCATCCTCATCTTCACCATCTTCGTTGCATCCTCATCTTCACCATCTCTGCAGCATCCTCATCTTAACTATCTCCGCAGCATCCTCATCTTCATCATCCCCCACCAACATCCTCATCTTCACCATCCCCGCATCATCGTCATCTCCAGCATTACCTGGAGCATTCTCATCTTCACCATCCTCACAGCATTCTCATCTTCACAATCCAGCAGCATCGTCATCTTCACCATCCTCGCAGAAACCTCATCTTCACTATCCCCTATGGCATCCTCATCTTAACAAACCCAGCATCATCCTAATCTTCACTATCCTCCGCATCATCACTATCACCTGTATCATGCTCATCTTCAGTATCCCTGCAGAATTCTCAACTTCATCATCCTCGTTGCGTCCTCATCTTCACCATCCCTGTAGCATCCACATCTTCACTATCTCCCGCAGCATCCTCCTCATCTTTAGCATCACCTGTAGCATTCTCTTTTTAACCATCCTCCACAGCACCGTCACATTGGCCATCCCCGCAGCATCCCAATCTTCACCATCCCCACAGCATCCTCATCTTCACCGTCCCCCTGAATCCTAATCTTCAGCATCCTCTGCAGCATCCCCATCTTCACCATCCTTGCAGCATCTTCATCTTCATCTTCCCGGCAGCAACCTTACATTCACCATCCCTGAAACATCATCCTCTTCACCATCATCGCAGCATCCTCTTATTCACTATCCCCGCAGCATTCTCATCTTCACCAACCCCACAACATCCTAATCTTCACTATTTTTTGTAGCGTCCTCGTCTTCACCATAGCCATCAGTATCCTCATCTTCACACTCCCTTGCAGCATTCTTATCTTTACCATCCCCGCTGTATCCTAGTCTTCACAAACTTCGTAGCATCCTAATTTTCACCATCACCACAGCATCCTCATCTTCACCATCCCAGCAGCATCTTCATCTTCACTATCCCTGCAGCATCTTTATCTTCACTATCTGCGCAGCATCCTCATCTTCACGATCCCAGCAACATCCTCATCTTCACCATCCAAGCAGCATCCTCATCTTTACCTTTCCCGCCGCATTCTCATCTTCACCATCCCCGCAGCTTCCTCATCTTCATCATCCCTCGCAGCATCCTTATCTTTACTATCACCTGTAGCATCCTCATTTTCACCATCCTGGCAGCATCCTCATCTTCACCATCCCCGCAGAATCCTCATCTTCATCATATCCCGCAGCATCCTCATCTTCAGCATCACCTGTAGCATCCTTTTCTTCACCATCCCCGCAGCATCGTCATTTCACCATCCCCGCAGCATCCTCATCTTCACCCTCCCCGCAGCATCCTCATCTTCACCATCCTCCCTGTAGCATCCTCATACTCACCACAGCATCCTTCTTCACCATCCCAGCAGTATCTCGCAGCATCCTTCACCATACCATACTCATCTTCACCATCTTCGCAGCATCCTCATATTCAGCATCCTCATCCAAGCAGCATCGTCATCTTCACCATCCTCATCTTCACCAACCCCTGTACCTTCCGCATCTTCACCATCCCCGCAGCATCCTCATCTTCACCCTCCCCGCAGCATCCTCATCTTCACCATCCTCGCAGGTTTCTCATCTTCATTATCCCCCGTAACCTTCTTATCTTCACTATTACATGTAGCATCCTCATTTTCACCATCCCCATCGCATCCTCATCTTCACCATCCCCGCAGAATACTCATCTTCGTCATCCACAAAGCATCCTCATATTCACCATCACTGTAGCATCCTCATCTTCACCATCCCCGCAGTATCGTCATCTTCACCATCCCCTCAGCTTCCTCATCTTCATCATCCCCCGCAGCATCCTTATCTTCACTATCCCATGTAGCATCCTCATTTTTATCATCCCCACAGCATCCTCATCTTCACCATCTCCGCAGAATCCTCATCTTCACCATCCCCTGCAGTATTCTTACTTTCACCATTACCGCTGCATCCTCATCTTCACCATCTTCATAGCATCATCATCTTCAACATCCTCACAGCATCCTCATCTTTACCATCCCCGCAGCATCCTCATATTCACTATTTTCGCAGAATCCTCATTTTCCCAATCCCAACAGTATCCTCATCTTGACCATCCTTACACCATCCTCATCTTCATCAACTCCACCATCCTCATCTTCACCATCCCCGCAGCATCTTCAGCTTCACCATATCTGCAGCATCTTCATCTTCACCATCCCTGTAGCATCCTCATCTTCACCATCACCTGCAGAATCCTCATCTTCACAATCTCCGCAGCATCGTCATCTTCACCATCCCTTGCAACATCCTCATCATCACCATCCCCTGATGCATCCTCATCTTCACCATCCTCATCTTCACCATCCTCATCTTCATGATCCCCACAGCATCGTCATCTTCACTATCCCCACAGAGACCTCATCTTCACCATCCCCTGTAGCATCCGTATCTTCAACATCTCCGCAGTATCCTCATCTTCACCATCCCAACACCATCCTCATCTTCACAATCCCCGCATCATCCTAATCTTCACCATCCCCCCACTGATCCTCATCTTCACCATCCCCTGCAACATGCTTATCTTCACCATCCCCTGAAGCATCCTCATCTTGACCATCCTTGAAGCATCTTAATCTTCACATTCCCCTCATCATCCTCATCATCACCATCCCTCCTGAATTATATTCTTCATCATCCCCTGCAGCATCCCCATCTTCACCATCCTTACAGCATCTTCATCTTCACCATCCCGGCAGCAACCTAACATTCACCACCTCCGAAACATCATCATCCTCACCATCCTCGCAGCATCCTCATATTCACCATCCCCGCAACAATCCCATCTTCATCCTCCCCGCAGCATCTTCATCTTCATTATTCCCACAGCAACCTCATCGTCACCATACCCACAGCATCCTCATCTTCACCATCTTCCGCAGAATCCTCATCTTCACCATCCCCAGCTGCATTCTTATTTTCACCATTACCGCAGAATATTCATCTTTACCATCTTCGTAGCATCCTCATTGTCTTCATCCCCTCAGCATCCTCATCTTCACCATCCTCGCAGCATCCTCATCTTCACCATCCCCCACCAACATCCTCGTCTTCAACATCCCCACAGCTTCTTAATAATCACCATTCCTGCAGCATCCTCATCTTCAACATCCCCTGCAGCATCCTCAACTTAACCATCTTCGCAGCATCCTCATCTTCACCATCCCCACATTATTGTTATCTTCACCATCCCCGCAGCATCCTCATCTTCACCATTCCCTGTACCTTTCGCATCTTCACCATCCCCGCAGCATCCTCATCTTCACGATCCCCGCAACATCCTCTTTTTCACTATCCTCGCTGCATCCGCATCTTCACCATCCCCGCAGCATCCTCATCTTCATCATCCCCCGCAGCATCCTTATCTTTACTATCACCTGTAGCATCCTCATCTTCACCATCCCCGCAGAATCCTCATTTTCGCCATCTCCCGCAGCATCCTCATCTTCAGCAATACCTGTAGCATCCTCTTCTCCACCACCCACACAGTATCGTCATTTTCACCATCCCTGCAGCATCCTCATCTTGACCATCCCTGCAGCAGCCTAATCTTCACCATTTCCACAGCATCCTCATCTTCACAGTCCCCCTGAATTTTAATCTTCACCATCCCCCTGAATCCTAATCCTCTCCATCCCCATTTTCACCATCCTTGCAGCATCCTCATCTTCACCATACCCCCACAGCATCCTTAACTTCACCTTCCCCTGCAGCATTCTTATCTTCACCATTACCACTGCATCCTCTTCTTCACCATCTTCGTAGCATCCTCATCTTCACCATCCCCACAGCATCCTCATCTTCACCATCCCTGCAGCATCCTCGTCTTCACTATGTCCGGAGCATCCTCATCTTCACATCCCCCAGCATCCTCATCTTCACCATCCCCTGCAGCATTCTTATCTTCACCATTACTGCTGCATCCTAATCTTCGCCATCCCCACAGCATCCTCATCTTCACCATCCCCCTGAATCCTACTCTTCACCATCCCCCTGAATCCTAATTTTCA